GGGTTGAGTATTGCTTCATGAAGGCGTTGGTGAGCTGGTCGAAGTTATCTATTGAGTTCGGCTCGAGGCTTGAAAACCATTCGAGAGCTGTTCCGACCAGGTTCTCAGCAAAGGTTCTGCAATAACCTGTTTCGCATTCTTCTCTTGTGAAGTGAGCTTTCACTATAGCTAATCGGAAGGCTCTCAAATGAGCCTTAGGGTCTGAGGTCCCGTCATATTTGGGGATCCTGATTTTTCGGGCATCTCTTATGTAAGAGCTAGCGATTTTGTTTGTGAATGGGGTTCCACGGGTTTCCTCAATCAAGCTCTCGATTTCGGGAGCTGAGCTTGTTGCTTTGTGTACTTGAGCATTCAACTTTTGGACGGCTGCGTGAGTCTGCTCCATGTATCGGCGAATAGCCTCAGGTCCTTCTAGGGGAAGGACGGTTGGGTCGTCATGATGAATCTGATGAGGAGATTCTTGACGGAGTCGAGCGTCATTCTCCCAAGCGTTAGGTGGGCTAAATCGCTCGCTAGCTCTAGGGCCACTTTGAGGGATGCGACCAGGGGGTGAGCTGTAGGATCAGCTTCGGTCCTCGGGTGGCTGTCTCGATTTGGGATCACGCTCCCATTTTGGTAAGCTGAGGCTGGTGCTCTTCCCCTAGGAGGGAAAAACATTCCTTCTCCGGACCTAAAAACAGGTGGCGGAGGCGGTAATCATGTGCTCTGTTCGTGAACCCTATTGGGTGCAGAGCTTGTTGTTGCTACGTTACTTCCCATAGCGCTAGTTACAGGTGGACTGAATGCTGGGGTTGTCCCAGTATGAGGTGTCCGGAGAACAGGTTCTTGCCCATCATGAGCAGTGCTGTTTGGGGAAAAATCCAGGCGTCCGCGAGGGAAAGTGGATTCGGTCAGTCGGTCTCGGAAGGTGACTCCCGATCCTTGACGTTGCGACAGATGAGTCGTCTCGGTTAGAGATCTAGTCACTTCTTCGAACCGTTGCTGTCGAGCAGTTAGCTGTTGCAACGTGCGCTCATTATCCTGAGCTCTTTCTACCAATTGCACCATCATTCGACGCATCTCGGATAGCTGAGCTTCCGAATGATTCAGAACGGGTTGACGCTGAGGGTTTTCGGGGTGTGTAACCCCCGAGTTGTTTCCACTGGAAGATCTTGGGTTAGTTATTCCAGTTTGGTTCGATTGAGCATTAGCCGGAGGCTGTTGCTCGGATCGGTGATCGGCGGATCGAGGTTCCGGATTCTGGGGATCCAGGTCTCTCCTGTTCGGTGAGCCGTCGATTTGGATCACGGGATCAGGGATGGTTGGGCTCGTTGCCTGGTTGGATGGATCCATTCTCAAGTTACGGAGTGAAGGATTCAATTATCTCTTCCCCACAAACGGCGCCAAAATGTGATGGATAAAACTCACTTCCTGATTTTAGGTTAGGTTTAGATTGGAGAAAAGATAATGTGGGCTGAATCCCGTTAGAACTTGTATGAATGAATACGTTTGTTTATATTGATTTTGATAAGAAATTGAGTTTACAAAGATGAACTTGATGATCAGAAGTACAATGATGAATTGAGATGATTACAATGAAGGAAAAGTGTTTAAGTCTTTAGGTCTAAAAATGAGTCGAGAGAGGATCCTTTTCTCTGATCTCCTCCTCCCTTAAATAGCCCTAGGTCACGTTTAGCTTCTCCTGACGAACCTCCGAGATTGCCTCCGTAAGTTGTGGGATTTGCAACAGCCTCCTCTTGACCAAGTCTCGCGTGTCCAGCTTGAGCTGTTTTTCGTTAGCTGTCTGTAAACGAGGTTCGGAGCTTTTTCCGTGACCTGTTTTGTTAATGATTTTCCTATCAACGCACAGGTCCCGACTTTATTCGGTTCTTCTTCGAGGGATGAATTGTTAATGGGCTTATAATGTCCTGTTAACGACTTCTACCATTCGAGCCCATTATTTCAGCTAACGGGCTAGATTCGGGCCAAACAGGCAAGCCTTGTTGAGGTCGGTGAAGTCAACGCAGACGCGCCATTTTCCGCTTTTCTTCTTGACTACCACTGGGTTAGCAAGCCACTCGGGGTATCGGACTTCAATAATTGATCCGGCATGTAAGAGGCGATCGACCTCGTCGTTAACTGCTTTTGCTCGCTCGGGACCGAGCCTTCTGCGCTTTTGCATGATGGGTTTAAACGTTTGGTCAACATGGAGCTCGTGAGTGGTGATCATCAGATCGATGCCCTTCATGTCAGACTTTGTCTAGGAAAACGTGGAAGCATTTTGTCCGAGGAAAGCGATGATGCATTCCTTCATCTCGTCCATCAGGTAGGCTCCTACCCGAACTATCTTCCTTGGATCATTGTCGTCGAGAAGAACCTCAGCGATCTCTTCCTTCTGCGGGTAAATTTTTGTGAACGGACTTTACCACGACGTTGACGTGAGAATACTCCTGTCTGAGTTTCATGGCGGCGACCAAAAGTTCACGAGCTGCCTGCTGATCGCCGCGTAATGTACGAATGTGACTATCATTTCTAGGAAATTTTACACATTGGTGAAGGGTGGACGAAATTGCCTTCATCGAATGGAGCCAAGGAGTCCCGAGTATGACGTGATAAGGTGCGACAGTATTGATTATCGAGAACTTCACGGCTTTCGTTAATCCGCCTGCATACACGGGGAGACGGATTGTTCCTATCATTTCCTCATAAACCCCGTTGAAGCCAGTGAGCGTCCGGTTAGAGGGCTTCATCTGTCGGAGGTCGATTTCCATTTTTTCAAGGGTGTTGAGAAAAATGAGGTCGACCGAGCTACCCGTATCGATGAGGACTTTCGTGACTTCGCAATTACCGATCCCGATCTCGACCAGCAATGGATCGTTGTGGGGCATGTGGACACCGACAGCATCTGCCGGGGAGAACATAATAGGAGGACTGTCTTCAGGTTTCGATGGCCATTTTTTGGAAGCAATAGCCTGGCGTTGATGAGCCTTTACGGATCGGACCGAATCTCCGCATGGGGGGGAGCCGCCCATGATAACATTTAAGCGGGTGTTAGGCGCAGTTTCGAGTGATTTCTTTTTGTCGAGCATTTGACGCAAATCCGGCGTCTTCATTCTGTCTAGCGTGTGCCGAAGGTCGCCGGTGCTGGAATTGAGATGATGTCGAAGATTGGTCAATCCGTATCGAGGGATCGCGGTCGGGACGGTGCTGGAGTCGTCCAGTTTTCGTGCTTTTCTTGAATTGAGTTTTATCCCGAAGGTCAGCGTTTTGCGTTTCCTTGCGGTGAGATTTAAGGTGTGCTCGGAGGTCGTCAGATCCATTGTCATCATCGAACGACACTTCCCTTTGAGCGAGAATGACTTGGATTCGTTTCCTGCTCCTGGGTTGTTCCCCGTCGGCAGTCTGGTCATCTCGGGGCTGTCCCACAGTGGTTTCATCGTCGGACGTCTCGTCGATGTGAGCGAGTGATGGCATCTTCCAGCGAGGTGGTCGGACTTTGGTAGAGGTCTTGCCGGAACGGGGAGTGTATGTATTGTGCGTTCTGGAGAGCTTCGACTGCCATGTTGTCGGGGGCGTTTACTTTGAAAGCCAAAGTTTTGAATTTTCCCATGAACTCTTTGAGGCTTTGTCCGGAAGTTTGTGACATTTTCCAGAGGTCCGAGGCCGTAGCTCCCTGGCGTGTAAACATGATGTAGTGGTTTAAGAAAGCAGACGACAAGTCATGGAAGTTGTCGATGGAGTTATCGGCTAGTCGGGAAAACCATGTCAAAGCCGGTCCGGCTAGACTCTCGAAAAAGAGGTTGCAAAGGCCGGCATCTCGCTCTTTGTTTGAGAACCGTGACCTACCCATCATGATGTTAAAAGCAGTCACGTGATCCGTTGGGTCGCTTTCGCCGGCATAGGTCGGTAATCGAAGTTTTTCAGTCAGACGGATCTTGACGTTGCTGATACGTGCTGTGAAAGGAGTGCACTACGATTCGGCGAGGACGCGATCGATCTGAGGGGCATCACTCGTAGCGTGATGGATCTGAGAGGTTATGGTCTAGAGAGACAGTTTGAGCTCAGCTATTTTACGTGCAGTTTGGGGATCTGCCGGTTGAGCTGAGTCGTATGTCGACGTTCCCTCGGGTTGAAGAGGCTGGTTGGCTGGAGTCGGGGTAGGGTTGGTGTTGAAGAGAAATCGTCGGACTGACTCGATGTTTCTGGCTGCTTCGTCAGGCGGTGAGAGGATGGCGGCGAGGGCCGCAAGCTGAGCGTTTGTTTCTTTCTAGGTTTCATCTTGCTTAGCGAGACGGGCCATGACGGAGTCCATGAAACTCTCGACAGTCGGAATGACCGGGTTTTCTTTCGGTGGGTTACCGGAAGAATCTTCTTCGTTAGCCATATTCGTCACACTACTTCGTTATGCCCCACGGTGGGCGCCAACTGTTTGAACCGAGTTTGGTGATAACAAGTAAATGATCGACGAAAACTCGTCGATGGGTTATTTCGAAGGTGTGAACAAACAAAGAAGAAGAAAAAGAGTTTTATTGATCGAAGAAAAAATGAATACAAAGAGGATAACTGTGTTCGGGAGCTACCGGAGTCGTACGGACGGATCTAAGAACAACAAGGTGAGTAAAACCCTAGTTTAGCTGCCGTCTAATCTGTCTATTTTCGGATCCCTTCTAAGTTTGGTATCTCTTCTTCTTTATAGGTCGCTGTATGGACAACCCTAATGGGCCGTGTCCCTTGTCCCCTGGGCCTCCAGCCGAGCCAGATCTCCTTGCTTGGTACGAACGATGACGTGTACTCAGTTCTGACTTCCTTATCATCTTGCGGGCATAGATCTTCTTCGTCTACTTGAGGCGAATAAAGGACAAGACTTTTATTCGATGAACCTTGAGGGTAGGATGGAATCCGTCCCCTACAAAGAGAATGGCAATGTACACATATTGCGCTTACTTCATTCATCGCACTTTTCATCATCGTCGTCGTCATCGCTCAAAACACAGAGAAAGAGAGAGAGAAAGTAAAAAACAATGGAGATTGGGTTTCTGGGTTTGGGTATCATGGGAAAGGCCATGTCATTGAATCTACTGAAACATGGATTTAAAGTTACTGTGTGGAACCGGACACTTTCCAAGGTAAACCCATTTCTCTTCAGATCTGATAAAAGTTTGGAGAATTCACCTAATTAGCTTATGGAAGCAGTGTGATGAACTTGTGGAGCATGGAGCTTCAGTGTGTGAGACTCCAGCTCAAGTAATTAAGAAATGAAAATACACTATCGCTATGCTCTCTGATCCTTCTGCTGCTCTTTCGGTATCTGCTTCTTTTAAGCTTTTGATGATACCCATACGAACAAAAGTTACAATTTTTGTTTGTGGTATAAGGTTGTTTTCGATAAATATGGTGTTTTGGAGGAAATCTGTGAAGGAAAAGGCTACATCGACATGTCAACAGTTGATGCAGAGACTTCCTTAAAGATCAATCAGGTTTTTCTAACTCTTTTCAGATTATGAATCAATGGTTAGACAAAGAAAAGCATCGATAAGTTTGTGTAAATGGCAGGCAACCACCGGGAAAGGTGGTAGATTTGTAGAGGGTCTGGTTTCAGGTAGCAAGAAGCCGGCAGAAGATGGACAGCTCATCATACTTGCTGCTGGCGACAAGGTAAACTGAATCTCAAGAACAGACAGAACACTTTTAGTTAAGACTCTTTAGTATGATTTTGGACATGTTGCTTTGCTAGTCCCTTTTCGATGTATCGATCCCAGCTTTTGACGTATTGGGGAAGAAGTCTTTTTACTTGGGACAAGTTGGGAACGGAGCTAAGATGAAACTAGTAGTCAACATGGTCATGGGAAGGTGAACATTTCCAGTCTCTGTCTCTCTTTTGACTATTCACAGTATAACACGAAACAGAACTTGTCTTCATGACATCTTTTATTACACAGCATGATGAACGCTAACTTGACCGATTTACGCGCACGGCTAAACCGTTCCAAATCAATAAGTCGACGGCTAGAGCGGTCAACTGCGTCCCATACCATGGAACCATCAAAGCCGAGTGACCAGAACGTACCTGCGGATCTTCGTACATTCTTAGACATCAAACGAGTAACCGCGAAACCACGGCTGAACGTCATCATGGGTGGATCACCTCCCTGTGGCGACTCTGTCCGCTCTGTCAAAGACTACCGGCGCCAAGCCGCGTCCTCGAGACGTTGGCCTGCGATACCGCCGAGCCACACGCCAATCAGCTTTTCCCCCAACGATTTGAACGGAGTCCATTTGCCTCACAACGATCCTCTGCTAATCGTCCTTGAGATCGGTAAGTACGATGTGACCCAAGTGTTAATCGACACAGGAAGCTCAGTTGATCTCATCTTTCGTGATACGCTTGAGAAGATGGGGGTCGATTTCGACGAAGTCAAATCGTCCTCACGAACTTTGACCGGGTTCAACGGCTCATCAGAAACCGTCCTAGGGACGATCCGTCTCCCAGTCCGCGCATGCGGGGTTACTCGAACGGTTAAATTCGCCGTGGTAAACACCAAATCCCCTTACCATGTCATTCTCGGAACCCCATGGATACATTCGATGCAGGCAGTTCCATCCACCTACCACCAATGCATCAAGTTCCCTGGGGTGGACGGAACAATCAAGACCGTACGCGGAGATCAGCAAGCCGCTCGAGACCTGCTGATCGCCACAGTCAAGCTGCAACGCTCATCATCCCTAGTCAACTCTGTCTCTCA